GTAAAGTACCGACACCTTGCAGATACCTGCGACAAAGACGACAATATTTACCTAAAGTAGCATGAAGTTGGAATAAGTGCATTAAAATGGTGATGAATTTGACAGACTGATGCAAGAAAACACATTTTTTTTAGCAGAAAGTGCTGCAGGTTGTTTAAGGCAAAGAAACACGGCTGCAGGTCTTTTTTTAATTTAAACAGTTTTGGTTAAAACATCACCATGTGCTCATTGACACGTTCAGCTGCTTTATTCTGGACAGAAGTTTAATGTTTCATCTCCGCACAAACTTCACACAAACAGCAGCGGCTTCGCTTTTCTTCGACGACTTTATTTAGCTCAAGAATACACACACAGGGATAAACAGTAAAAACAGTATTTAATCCTCTCCAGCGTTTTAAATCAACAGGTAACAGGCCAACGATGCAAAGAAAAGCCTTCCAATCACAGAGTTCTCGCTGGATGATAAAAGGCACACAGAGTGAGTTTCAGACAGAATTATGAAGGAAATAACTGAATAACAAACCTCCACATCAATAAAACACTTCAAGGCTACACGTCAAGCTATAACTGGTTACAAGTCATAAAATAAACCCAAAGACAAACCTAAAACACTAGTGTTTAATCAGATTTCTAACCCACATCTACAGACGAGCCCGGGCTACGACGGCTTCAGTACGGCGAGTTCATCGATTCTACATTTTAAAGTTGTGATTAAAGGACAAATCCAAACATTTCACAGTCCGGGTGACGCATCTGATTTTCTAAACTGCATCAGCGGCTGACGTCCTGGTGTCGGCTAACGAGGAGCGCACGATGAAGTGAAGCCCGTCCACCCGATCGGAGGATAACACGGTAATAAAAGTCTCAAAAGTTGAAATGCATCATTTAAAAAAGTCTTGTGTATAAAAAGACGTAGAAATTTGCCACTGAAACGAGCGATGCCACTGATGTTCGCTTAAAAAGGAAAAAACAAAAAAACACTGATGAGCTGCACGGAGGGAAGTTTGTCTCCACTGAAGATGATTTAACGTTTCACACAGTTTTCATGCAGCAGATTAGCGCCACCTGCTGCTTCCTTGGACACAGACTGAACCTCGATTTAAAAAAAATACAGTTAAATTGGCGATGAAGCGATAACGAGCAGCGTGAGGTTAAAGACGGCGGATTGTAGCACCTCCAGGTTTGATCTTCTCTCTTCGTCGACAGGCAGCTTGCTTCACAGTGAGAGGCTGGGCGGGTCGTCCTAAGGTCGGTGGTTCGATTCCCTCCACGGTCGAAGAGTCCTCGGGCAATCCGAAGTGCCCCCAGTGGCCGGCAGCACCTTGCATATGGGTGTGTGAATGTGATCTAGTCTCAGATGTGCGTCACTTTGGATGAAAGCTAAATGAAAACGTAAATTGTAAAAAACCCGAGTCTGGATTCGTGTGCGTATGTGTTAGCGGTGTGTTGCGTTTCGGTGTTTTGCGCGCGCTCGGTTTCCGGCGTCGACGTCGACTCCGGATCGATCGGCAGGAAGCCCATCAGGTGGTGGGGGAGAGAGGAGGGGAGAGCTCAGGGGGGTGAGGGATGAAGATGTCCCTCATCAGAGCTGCAGGAGACACAAACAGATGCACAACTTTAGACGGAATTAAAACTTCAAAACCAAACTGATGCAGACCTGCACTCTGAGTCTGGACTGAACGCTCATAATGTGATGACGATTGACCTCTGATGGCTCAAACTGTGACTTGGTGGCGCCCCCTTGAGGTCACCGTTGGTATTGTTTGAGCTGCATGTTGCTTCTGATCCGTGTTGCAGATGTGACAGAAAACACAGATGTTCTGATGCGTCAGCTGCTTCCTGTTCGTTATAAAAAGCTTCTAATCGAGAGCAGGATGCTGCTACCGTGGATACGTCCAGCTGTTACTACGGCAACTGGAGATGCCTCTATGACAGACGTGTTTGTTCAGGAATCCAGCAGCTCCAGTTTGAACCGCTGCGTGTCGTCAGCGTTACGAAAAGCGAGTGTCCCCATGATTCTGCCTTCAGAATATGATGTTTGTAACTCTGACTACGTCTGACTAGTTATTTCTCATCATGACATTGATTAACAATTTGCAATATTGTGCAAGTAGATCAAATAATCTCTAATGAATGAGCTGAAATATGAAAAAAAAAAAAGAAGCAGTCATGAAAAGTCTAATCTTTGAGTTCATATTAACAAAAAAATGAATAACGCAGAAGTCGACTCGTGATGTTTTCTGACACATGAGCAGCTGCAGGTCACAATAAAACAAAACTAAACATGTAGAGAACTTTTAATCTGAAATATTTGGTCACAAAAATGAGAAAAAGGTTCAGTTTTGTTGGAACTTTCACAATTGATTGAGCAGGTTTGACAAGTCGTAGCACAAAAAATAAAAGTATTGCTGGTCAAAACAAGCGCTATCTCAGAAAACACCTGATTTATGGCGCTAACATTTCATATATATGTTTAGAAATAAGAGATGAGTCGGCAGAAATTGTTCAAAAAGTGCTTCTTATTTTCAGTTATTTCACATATTTTGTGTTTTAGTCACTGGATCCTGTTGAAGAACAAGAACATCCATATATATCTAGATAGAAAAATAAAAAACAGAAAGCTGCAGGTCTTTAATGTGGCCACCAGGGGGCGCCACATCACCTCTACCAGCCGTAAACTGAGCAGACGTTCACTGTTCTGCTCCAACATCAGGCTGCTCAGTGTGTTTTATTGTGACTTCATTTAAATTTAAACCCGTCTGAGCTCTGAAGACACACGACGATGTTTCTGTCTGAGTTTGATTCAAAGGTTACCTGCAGTGTCACAGAGTCCCTGCATGCCTCCCAACACCGGGTCTCTGTCGGTTAGCAGCTGACTTCGATCCCCCGGTCCCGGATCCAGGAGCAGGTCTGACGGGTCGGCTTCCTCCAGAGAGCCCTGGAACAAGAAAACAAAGGGATTCAGTGTTAAATTTGAAAGTATTGTGTTGTTTAGTCTCCTTCCTGAGTTTTAAAAGCCTGAATCATTCCTCCTCCTCCTCCTCCTCCTCCTCCTCCTCCTCCTCCTCCTCCTCCTTCCTCCTTCCTCCTCCTCCACTCACCAGCAGCCTGTGGGTGAGGAGAAGCTCCTCTTCTATCGATGAAGCGTCTTGTTTCGCCTTCTTGTCCTGAACCATCATCTGAGGCGGCAGCAGCAGCTCGTCCCGGTCGTGAGTCCTGAAGGCAGACGGTTACACATGTGGGTCAGCCGGAGCCGGTAGGTGGTGTAATGTGCTGTTTGAAGTTTCTGAGCCACTCGTTTGGTTGCAGCTCTACGTGATGTGCTGGAAATACATAAAGAAAGCCAAGGCGGCGCTGCAGACAAACCCCCCAGAGGGTCTTGTTGTGGTTTGTAATTACACACCGGAGCGGCGTGAAGCTGCTGCGCTCTGGTGAAGTGGAGGCTTCAGCTACATGTAAAGGTCCTGAACAAGAGCTGCTGTCACTAAAGGGTTCTGGCTCGGTTGTGATCAGTCGTGTTGGGTGGAGCTACAGGAAGGTGTTCCCTGGAAATAGTGGAAGTTGATTGAAATAAATAATCTGAGGGGCTGCACCATTCAGATGGTTTGTTGTTGCTTCTGCTGGTTTAAAAGCAGGCAGATAAAACCGCCGTAAACGAGCCTCCGATCCGCTAAACCGGACCGAATTGAAGAGAGAAAAGGCGGAACCGATCGCGTCTTTATACGGGTCGAAAGAAGCGTGAAGAATGTGGAGTTCTGGAGTCGATCAGGCTTTAAACGTCCAGGCTCCAGGGTCACGCTGCAGGAAGAATCTTTTGGTGTATTTATGATCCTCATTGTTCACTTGTTGAGTTCAGTAACACAACTATGACTCCATTACTCTTTATCAAGCTGTACACTTACATTTTATTTTCTATTTTATGCACCAACTTTGCTGCTTGTGTTTACATTTTAGGACAAATTAAATTAAGTTTGTACGACTCGAGTGGGAGCTGCAGCTACTTCCTGTTTAGTCCGATGGAGGTTTAACACCAAACATCCCTAATAAGTGACTTTTTGTGGTGTGTGAGGAGTTCCTTTGTGTCAGAACCATGAGAACGTCTCACGGCAGAACGCTGACTCTCAGTTCAGACGCACTTTGAGCATCTAACACCTTCTTCCTTCCACATCTGACGACTAGGGGTTTTTTCTTACCGTTTCCGTCCCATCGCCGCTGCAGGTTCGCACAAAGAGGCGGACGCTTTGTCAGCTGCTTCGGGCAAACTGCTGAGGAAGGTGAGCTGGAAGTCGTCGTCCATGGAGATGTAGGGCGCCAGCATGTCCAGGTCCATCCCCTCCATGTCCTGAAGGCACAGAGTCAGGTCTGAGCAACTTCAAGTTAAAAAACATACAAACCATCTACAGCAGCGTCCAGATGCTTTCAGCTCCCACCTCCGAGACGTCCGGCTTCTTCTGAACATCGTCTGGGAAGAAGGCGAAGAACTTCTCCACCTCGCTGGTGTCCATCACCTCCTCTTCTTCCTCCTCCTCCTCTTCCTCCTCCTCCTCACAGGTGCCCTGAGGAGACGAAACAATCCTTAAATCAGACAGACGCCAACGTTTCGTACGTTTTAAAGCAGGTTTAGGGTTTGTGGTTACCAGCAGCGAGTCGGGCGAAGTCGTCGGAGGAGTCAGAGGGTTGAAGATGGGAGACAGCAGCTGGCGGAGCTGAGGGCTGCACAGGTCCTGAGGGTGATCTGGAACCGAGTCCGAACCCGGCGGACTTGTGAAAGAGAGCTCGACGAAATCTGAGGGACGGAAAGAAAAGAGAGGAAGGTCAGGAGGCAAAGTTAACAGCGTCGGTATGGAATCACAGGAGTGCCATAATGAAAAATAAAGCTGCTAAAAAATAAATTTGTAAAAATAAAGAGAAATAAAAAAATAAAATAAAAATATGGAAAAACAAAGGTACATTTTGTCTTTGCGTTTCCGTTGTTTGTTCCTTTTGTTAATTTTTTTCTGTTTGTGAAAAACAAAATGAATGAAGATGGAAAAACCCAAAACGTGACTCAACATTTATCAGCTCTGACATGAACGGTTTCAGCTTCAGATGCCATTTTTTATATATATTTTAACATTCATACACATTTTTGAAGTATCGCTGCAGAAAAACGTGAATGGAAACGACAAAATGTAAGAAAATCCCTAAATTTTTTTTACGCTTGATTGTTTAGTAAAGAGTTAATTCTGACATAATTAACATGTAGCTGATCCGTTTCTTCGTCTTCAGATGAAACATGTTTAATACCAGCAGACACAAAAGACTAATTTGCAGATTGGACAAGAATCCTTTTTGTTTTTGTTTCTGCTTCTTCTACTGTTTATCACAACCATGTGACCTGTAGCGCCACCTTCTGGGGAAACAATGAGTTTATTTGCACCAAATCAGTTCATGCAAACCTCAAGTAACTGATATTTCTTATTGCTTGCAACATTTTAAAATTAATTTATTTGTAAACCCAGTTGTGTAGCTGCGCTGTCACCTAGTGGTGTGGAGGAGGAACTGCACTGAGAACATTTCCACCAGCTGGTTCTTATTTCTCCATACTCGTCTTCTCACCTGCTTTCAGCGGTATGACGGCGTCGCCGGCCGAAGGAGCCAACTGGAGAAGCTCCTCCGGCTTCTCCTTCAGCTTCATGAAGAGCTTCGCCGCGCCGCCGCCATCTGAATCGGACTCAACGACGAACTCCACGTCAGACTCGGGCGACTCGGGAGCTTTGCCGTTCTCTGGCGCCGCCGGCTGGGATTCAGATTTGGCGCAGCGTGTTTGTTCCACAGAGAAAATGACGTCCGGCTGCTCCACGACGCTGCAGGAGAAGATGGAGGTGAACAAGGAGGAGGAGGAGGAGGTGCAGATTTAAATAAAACAGCAGCCGCTCGGGTCGGTTCTGCAACCTGCTGCTGGTCTTGAAGTACCTGAGGATGAAGTTGAGGCAGACGACGGCTTCGGGCTGCGACGTCTTGCCGTTGTAGAGGACGGTGGCCTGAGTCTCGGCCCAGACGAAGCCGCCGCTGTGGGCCAGGAAGCGGTACTGGCTGGTGCTCACCTGGCCTTTGGACAGCACTGAAGACACACAGAGAGACGATTAAAACCCAGAAACCTGCAGCGTCGACTAAATCCTGCATCTCTAGTCCTGGCTGGTTTGTCTGCAGCAGAGTTTCTGCAACTAAAATGAAAAAATTTGCAAATTTCTCTATGAAATTAAACAATCAGCAGCCAATAAAACCTTAAATGTTGTGAAAAAGCTTAAAGTGAAAAACAATCAGCCTTTTTTTGTTTTAATTTAGATGATTACGGTTCATAGCTCATGAAAGTCCAGCATCAGAAATCATTACAAGACCAGCGGCTCATCAATAAAAGTCTTTAAACATTCAACACATTTGTGATTTTTGAAGCCGCAATCATTGAAATTAAACAAAAATATTTCACTTCACGTCTTTTTTAATTAAAGAAAATTTAATTGAGTGAGTTTTTCTCGTAGTTCAGGTATTTTAAAGCCCAGTTTAGAACCTTTTCGTACAGATTTCTGTGAGACTCACGCGTGTGCATGCTCTTGTTGACGTGATCGGAGTCGAGCGCGTGATGAAACTCGAACACCGAGCGTCCAATCAGGTCGTCCGGTTTGTATCCGACCAACTCTGTCACCCTGAAAACGGGAGGAGACGAGTGAGATTCACAGGGTTTTATTTATTTATTATGTACCGTTTGGGCTGAAGGCTGGGTCCTACCTGCCCTCGCAGTGGGTGAAGCACAGGTCCATGCTGTGGCGGGTGAGGAAGGTGGAGGTGTCGAGGGGGAACTCCACGCTGGACGGGTGAGGGACGGGCTCGCACAGCAGAGTCATGACTCGGGCCGCAGGAGGCGACGAGGAGACGCCGAACGGACGCATGGTGCCGGTGCAGTGGAGCACCTGCAGAGAGAAACATGAAGACCCGGTTAACATGGAGGCCGAGCTCAGCTTCAGAAAGCATCTGAAATAAAACGGAAATGAAACCATTACTGTGGGTTGTTGGCGTGTTTCTATGATGTCGTTTCAATGCAAAGCCTGAATAGTTTAATCATTAGACTGTTTGTGCATCTGTACCTTTAATTTTAGACCTTTAGAGTCGTTAAAAAGTTGCTTGTGTGACAGTATTCGGTCTAAAATTTGCAGTTTTATTCACTTCTGTGTGTTTTTATTTTGTCGTTTCAATGCAAAGCCTGAATAATTTTATAATTCAGCTGTTTAATGTCTAATTTTAGACCTTTAGAGTCTTTAAAAGGTTGCTTGTGGGACAGTTTTGGCTAAAACTGCTCTAATATTTGCAGTTTTATTCACTTCTGTGTGTTTCTGCGACATGCTTCATGCACAAACTTGTATTTTTTACGACTGGACGCTCACATTCTTACAGTTTTGTCTTTATTTTTTCATCTTTCTCTTGCAGCTTAAATGTTTAATCGATCTGAATCAGAGCTTCTCTCTGCGTAATAATGAAACAGAACCGATGCACCGGTTTCAGGCTGCAGATTAAAGACGTTTCCTCTCATTTAAACACCATCTGCTGAACTTTTTTTATCGTCTTTCGTGCACAAACTTGCTGGAGCTTCACATTCTTAAAGGCTTTCATCAGCTTGTTGCTGCATTTCCAGCTTCTGTCCATGTTTCTGTGTCCACTTACTATAAACCAGCTGTGGCGCAGGAATAATAAAAATAAACCTGGCGTCAAACCGAGCTAAGAATAGATTCAGCTCCGGATTCTTCCTCCTGTTCAGGTTTCAGGAGCTAATTAAAGAAATGACCCGGTGAAGGAAAAGCCACGAGAAGGTTCAGGAGCAAAAAAAAAACCTCACATCAGCTTTTATTTTGATGATGGAGCTTCTAAAGTTTAATTAAAGGCTAAAAAAAAGCTGAGATTGGTCTAAAATTTGCAAATTTTACAAAAAAAAAAAAAGCTAAAAAAGGCAGAAACGTGGAATAATTTGCAGCTTTTTGATGATATTTTGGAGCCAATTATCAGAAAAATACTTTTTACTGGAGACATGTCGGTGCAGCAGCTGTTATTTGTAGATTTCATTTTCTAATTTGGTTTTAAAACTGCAGTAACTCACTTGAATTAACTATTTTTTTCATTTGCAACTGGATGAATTTTCCCACCATCCTTTGAACTGCCTATTTGTTCGCCGTGTTTTTCTACGAGTGGATTTCTGTGCAGCTGGTTTCCGGTTTTACGGCTCAGATTAGAACAATTTAAAACTTCTCGGCTCCATTTAACCTCCGAGAAACGTTTTTTTTTTGTTTTTTTTTGCGACTGACCTTCCAGGAGGCCGACTTGATGTTGACGGAGCGCCCCTTGCTGGTCAGAGTGCTCTTCATCCGCAGGAAGAAGTTCCTCTCGCTCGGCTGCGATTTCTTGCTCAGACCTGGAGGCACAAAGACGACGAGGTGAATCCACAGACGTCGTTTTGTCTTCAACAACATGAACGTTTCTGAGAAGCGGAGCTGCAGCGACGGATCTGAGCGGGTTTGTTGTCCAATAAAAGTCCTGATTCTGTCATTTCGGTTTGTTAAATGTGACTATTTCCTGATTTCTTTCCTCAAACTGAACGTTAACGTTTGAGGACGTCGTCTCGGCCTCTGAGGAACACGATAACGAGCAGATCGACTGATAATTAAAACACTCATTAGCTGCAGCTCTGCTTGTTTAAAAAGCATTTAAAAGAATTTTTCCTTCGCTACCAACAGAAAACACAAACCAAGTTCAACTAATAAACTGATCTACAACTATTCTGATGATTGATTTAGTCAAAAAAAAACTCCAAATTCTCTGATCACAGCTTCTTAAATGTGAATATTTTCTGTTTTCTTTCCTCCTCGGTGACAGAAAACATTTGCTGTCGAGCATTTCAGATCAAATCACTAAATAAACTAATAACTGACAATCTAATGCAGAAAATAAGCAACAATTAGAAGAATTATCAGCTGCAGACCTACGAAAAGTCAAGATTAGGTTTATAGAAGCACCAAAAATTGCTCCATTTGAGGTTAATCTATGACATAATGATGATAACGGACCTGGGCGAGGAGTCAGCAGGTCTCGGAGCTCCTCCTGATCACACGGATGAACAAACTCGTAGATGCTCTGACCCAGAAGCTCCAGCTGTGGACCACAAGAACACACAAACTAGAACCGACGCATCAGGAAACTAAACGTTCTTCAAATTAAAACATTTACTGAACGTCTGACATGTTTACTGACACTCTGACAGGTTTGTCTGTTTCCTGTAAACCAGCTGTGGAGCAGGAATAATAATAATAATAATAATAATGGACTTGGTGTCGAGCTAAGAATAGACTTCAGCTCCAGATTCTTCCTCCTGCTCAAGTTTCAGAGTCCAGCAGGAGCTAATTAGAGAAATGACCCGGTGAAGGTTCAGGAGCAAAAAGAACAATAAATCTACAGCAGAAAACAATCACATTAGCTTTTATTTTGAAGATGGAGCTTCTAAAGTTTAATTAAAGGCTAAAAAAAAGCTGAGATTGGTTTAAAATGTGCAGTTTCTACAAAAAAACAACAAAAACCTGCCAAAAAAGGCAGAAACGTGGCTTAATTTGCAGCTTTTTGATCATATTTTGGAGCCAACTGTCAGAAAAATCCTTTTTACTTGAGACATGTCGGTGCAGCAGCTGTTTTTGTCGATTTCATTTTCTAATTTGACATTAAAAGCAGTTGTACAAGTTGTAGTTGTATCCTGCTGTTCTATTGATTTCCCACTAAGACGCCGTCATAGCTGCTGAACTCTTTGACTTTTAAACTGCTAAACATAAAGCTGCTATGAGGGGAAAACAGAAGAATCGATGCTGAATCAGATTCAGGAGGGAGGAGCTGAAAACATCTGGATGATCCTGATTGGAGGGTTTGAATTTAACCCGACGCTGCTGTTCTTCCCGCCGTACCTGCGTGATGCCGATGTGTTTGTTGACGTTCTCCGTCAGATAAATCATGTCTCCCTCCTCCGTCGTCACCATGACGAAGCCGGCCAGCGCCTGAGGATAGAACGAGTCCATCAGATCCTCCTTCGGCTCCTCCTCCTCCTCCTCATCCTCCATCTTCGTCTCGTCTTTCTCCTTGTCGTCGTCGTCTGCAAAGACAATCAGGCAAATTTAAAACATGCAGCTGCTGGTTTTTACTGAAACTTCTGCAGCTTTTAAGGGTTTATTCTGGATTTAGTTTCCAGTTTGGACGTCACAGGGGAGCCCGTGTTCAACAGAATCTCTGCTGCTTTATCATCGATGACGGAACAAAAACCTGCAGAGCTGCTGGTTTCTGAAGCATCACAGACGTTTCAGGTTTCACAGCAAACACAGGTATTTTTCAGGAGCTGCAGAAGCGTTCGTAGAAACTGGACCTGATGTTCTGAACCAGCAAGTGTTGATTAAAAGAGAACGTTGTTGAATGAGCTGGGCATCATTTCAGTTGAATCAGAATCAAACTTTTTCTGCAGCTGCTCCTGAAAATATTCATGCTAATAAGTGCACAACATCTACAACATGAACAATTTAATTCTGTTTAAAACACACGTGTGTGACAAATCAGGCTGCAGTTTAGTTTCTCCACCTCCTCACTTCTTGTTTTCGTGTTTTTCTGTCACGTTGTTTTTGTCGCTTTGCATTTCGCTGAGCGTCCTGAGCTATACGGTGGAGCTCTGAGTCGACTAAATCTGAACTCTCTGTTGTTCAGCAGGTTTAAAGGTGAAGCACGAGAATCTAGCGTTTAGTTTTATGTTGATTCAGCTGCTGAGACGTCAGCAGAGCTTCAAACCCGCCGTCTGTGTTTCTGCATTCGTTTGACAGAAACGACAAAAGGAGCAACTGAAGGAGGCAACGAGGAGCTTCTGATGCTCCAGATACACAAAAAGAAACTGTCAGCGGTGTTTGTGTGATTACTGCCACCGCCTGAAGGGGGCGACAGAAGCTCTGCATGCTAACATCAGCATCATCCACACAGGGAATGCTCTAAGGCAGGGGTGTCCAATCCTGGTCCTGGAGGGCCCCTGTCCTGCATGTTTTAGATGTTTCCCTTCGTCCAACATTCAAATGATCAGGATTGTTATCAGGCTTCTGCAGAGCTTGATGATGAGCTGATCATTTGAATGTTGGAAGAAGGGAAACATCTAAAACATGCAGGATAGGGGCCCTCCAGGACCAGGATTGGACGCCCCTGCTCTACGGTTTGCAGGTTTTGTTGTCTTCTGGTGATGCCACAAAGTCAGAAGAAGGATCTTTTTAAACTTGTTGGAAAAAGAGAAAACACACGATGGAGGAATTTAACAGAAACGCATCTTCTAGCTGCTGAAATGTTTCCGTTTGCAGGAAACTGGAAGAACCGACAGCAAGGAACAAAACTAAACTCAAAACAGATTCAAAAATGTAAATGAGTGCACATGAGTTTAGTAAAAAAGAGTCTGTGTCAAGACGAGACTGAACAAACCAAAGGGTGAGAAACGTTTAAATCAAGCCGTCTGCGGTTCACCGAGTCGCCACGAAGCCGAACTCGTGGACGTCGGAGCTTCTCACCGGCTCTGAGCAGCTGCTGCATCCTCAGGAAGCTCAGCGTCACCCTCAGGATGGCGGCCTTGTCCAGGTGCGTGCAGACCCGGCGGGGCAGCGGCAGCGTCCGGGCCAGCTCGTAGAACACCTCCGTCTCCTGGCTCCGGCGGGACCGGGCGGCGTCGCGCGATCGCAGCTTCCTCTGCTCCGAGCTGGTCCTGATGGAGACAAATGAAAGGAGGCGATCAGGATTAGTCCAACTGAACTTTTCCTTCGTCACCAAAAAAAACCCACAAACCTGTGAGCAGCGTTCAGCTCTTTATTTCCCCCAAAATGAGAATAAACTGAATATTGACATTTAAAAAACGTCGTCTGAGGCTTTGAGGAACTCTGACTAATATTTGTAAAATCATTTTCTGACATTTTATTGACCAAAAAAAAACGAGAAAACCAGAAAAAACTCCAAATTCTCTGATTCCAGCTTCTTAAATTTGAGTGTTTTCTGGTTTCTTTTGGCTCCTCTTAATGTTTCACATTTATTTTTTTAAAGAAAACGTCTGTTTCAGTGTTTTGCTTCATTTTAAACATTAATTTTACTCGTTTTGTTCCGTCTTCAGGTTTTGCTGATGATTCTGTTGCTGCTCGTTCATGAATCAGGTTAAAATTCATTTAACTGACAATGAAAATAATCAAAAATATGTTCAGAAAAGCACAAAAATAGCTGCTTTTGAAGAACAGTTGGTAACTTCACAGCCAATGAAACATCTTGGCTGCATTTAAAGACGTTTAACGAACAAAATCACTCAGAATTCGTTTAATTGATCTGAATTTATGATGGAAGGAGCCGATGAATGAGTCCAGGACCAGAAAACACAAACAAAACAGATGGAAAGAACAAGAGGAAGGACCAGAGGAGAATTATACGATGGAAATGTTAAAACATATAGAGAGAGTGAAAGAGGAAGATGAAGGAACGTGTCCAGGGAAGGAAGGCGAGGAAGGAAAACAGGAGCCGAGAGTCAAAACAAAGATCTAATCGGTGGTTTTCTTCTCTACGAACGTGTTCAAACCTCGACCGGCTTCTGTTTGTCTGCCGGCGACGCTTTTCATTGTTCAGACTGAAGTCGAACAACAAAGTGAAGCAGGAACAGAAAAGTCCGGCAGCGACCAAATCACGTCGTCATAAAACAGTAAAACGAGGTACAAACGCTGGACAAGCAGCCTTCAGAGGTAAAACATATAAACATATGAAAAATTAGCACCATTAACAACCAAATAAACAACAAAATCTTTAGTTTCTTCCTGAAAAATGTCCTCGTGTGCATCTCAGAGCTTCAACTTTTGCTGATTTTTATGTGATTTTTCTATAAAACGCTCTAAAAAGTCACATCAGCTGCCAAAGAATAAAGAATTAAACTTTTCTAGTCACGACTTCTTCAGAAACTCGGCTGTGTTTGGATC